CTGAAATACTCAAATACTTATCAAATATTAAATTTGCTACTTCTTGCCTTTAGCTGACATCAAAAGTGTCTAAAATGGGAACACTTTTAATTCATGGTACCTAAAAAATTTTAATAAAACAATAAGCCACATTTTTTCACTAAATTATACAAAATGACTATGCAAGATATACTACAATTTCTTCATGCAAATGTTTGAGAAATCATAATTACTTCATATTAATTAGTTTTTCAACAAAATCTCAGCAAGGAATGAGAAATATTCTGAATTTTCGAAACCATTAACTAACTTTAAATAACGAGTAGTAAAACTATTAGAAACAAAAACAGCTATTTAGCAGACTATGGTCATTTATATCTAATAAAAATATTCAAATTTTATAAATACAAAAATTAACTCTTTCGATGGACGCGTATGAGCTGTTTGACAAAATTTGCGTGGAAATCTAACAGAATTTACACTTCGAGCATGAAGAAATAGTGATCGCATCCTGAACTACTGAAACACGTCCCAATGTTAGTAACAGAATAATTTCCAGCAAAAAATCATTGAATTCGAAAGAAATATGGAGTACACTGATAAAATTTATATGAAAATTATATTGAAGTATTATTTGAAGAAAACAATGAGAAGATAATATAAAAACTTTAGAACGAAATATTGCTGTTTAACTTGACTACATAAAAACTTGAAAGATTTCTTGATATGTCAGTAACCAAAATTTAATGAAAAATCATGAGATTCAAAAACATGAAACAGGAACAAATAAAGTACCCGCTTTATCACATACTATTCTACAATAAATACTTGAATATTCATGACTCTTAAATAATCACGATATATAAAGTACAACTAATAACACTTTACAAAAGTAGATAGAGTAAAAATTAGAAAAAGTGATCCATCTATGAAATCGTTAGAAAAAAAGACATAATGCAATGAAAATGAAATTAACAACTACGATAAAGCTATTTACATATTATTTTAAAGCATAACTCGTCTCTTCTCAAGAACCCATAGAATGTTCAAGGGAACTGGACAATTGGACTCAATGTTAGACGAAGATTACAAGCTTGTCTATAAATATTATTATTATCACAAACATACTATTATTATTTAGATAGTCTAATGATTAGAGTTCTATATGGACTGGACGACTGGCTGGCTGAACTGATGTTTCATGTAAATAATTGATGTAAACTTCATACGGATCAATATCTGTAAACTTATGAAACGATATAGGATTTATTCTTCTCAGATACAATTCCGAGTAATCACGTGGTTGTGCTTGATGGAACGCAGCAGAGTGTATCACAGGAATATTGAGCTGTCGAGCGCACATTCCTAAATATGATAGAAATAATAATAATATAATCAAAAAATAATTCAAAGTATTTAAAAAAGTACCAATAACCATATCATCTGGTGAATCAATACTCGGACAGCCACAGTGGGTTACAATATTTTCTGCTGCCTTTCGTGAAAATACCATCCTGAAATAAAGCTTATTTGTACCAAAAAGACAGTTTGGGACAATAAATAATTACAACACCTGAAATGGCTCACCCTGCACCACCAGTTGGATAATCATATCCTTTATTGCCGTGAATATTAAAACCATAACCATATCTCTCACCAATTATTACTTCATTCTTCGTGTCATAACAAGAAAGGAAGCCATACAGTCTTGAGACACTGCAAATTAACTACATTCAATTTTAACATTTTCGGAAAAATTGAGAAGTGAAAACTGTGCTTGTGAAAAAAAGTCCATATTTCTAAAAGCATTTCTTACCTTATTAGTGTATCGTCATCTGCAATTACTAACCACTTCGTTCCCAACATTTCTTCATTTTTTAAATAATGTGCCAATATACCAAATGTTTTTCCACAATGCCCTGATATCTTATACTTCAAAGTGATACAAATTTTCGAAAGATTCAAAGATAAGCAGAGAAAACTAACAGAAAACAGAATCATTCAACAAAGTCTAATATTAAATATATTTTATGGTTCCAATGTTTGACTAATAATTCAAATTATCTAATATTTAATCCCATAAACAAGAATAAATACCTCTTTCTGTATTTTTAATACTTAATTTTACTGTTGGTATATAATGATCCTCAATGTCACTAAAATATTCCACAAATTTAACATATTTTCCCCACGTTCGTTTTACAAACACAATTCGGCTTTTATGGTACTCGCTGAAGGTTTTGATTGCAAAGTAGACATCATCATTGTTAATATTATTACCACACTAAAAAGACAGTATATTTTTTGGTGAATACTCTACATATGAATCTCACACATATATTATTCCAAGAAAGATCTTCAGCCTTAAAAATTACAAACCTGGAAGTTCGGCTGATTATAATGTGTAATGCACGGTGATTCATTCTCTAAAAGACAGAAGAAAAGAGTGTTGTTTAACTTGATTCCACGTCTCTCTTTTAATATCCTTGCAAGCTGCAACTTAGATTTCTTGCCTTATTTTATTTTGAAAGATGATATGAACAGTTTATTTTCAACCAAGGAACAACATATCTCACTTTTAAGACGAAAACTACTTAATAATAACTGTCAGTTTTAAAAGCTAAAACGAAGGAGGATTCCAAGAAAGAAAAGCAAAAAACCAAACTTCGTGCTTTGCATCAATAGCAAAACCTTCTGACTTGAGAGTATTAGAATCTTCAAGCAACGTCCACGACAAAACCAGTCCAGCCGCAAAATCAGGATATAGAAAGTATTCCTGATCATCTTTGTAATCATAGAAGTGATGAATTATTGTATAACTGAAGAATATTTTTTCTTAAGTCCATACTAAAACTCCAAAATTATTTTTCGTCGTTTACTGACAAGAAATCAAACGACTTAACGCTTCATCTTTTAGTCCTCGTCCAATCGCATAACTGATGTTTCCATCAAAAGAATTCAGATAGTTGATTAAAGCACTAACATTCACAGCTGTATCTGGTTCGCATATAAATAACCAATTCCATAATGTATTTTTGTATTTTTCTGATAAGCTGTAAAATGAAAACTAAAGATGACTGTTCACCTATGACTTTGCATAACTTTTTTCAAAAGCATTAACCATTTTAGCATTGGCCACACCGCCCATGCTCCTGTTATTTCTGGAAGATCCTCATATGTTCTTAGAATATCAGCACGCTGAAACATTAGGATAAAATGTCTGCTTACAGAATAAATATGTTTATTACAATACCCAAACCGATTTTTATAATGAATTGAACAAAATTTTCTACCAATTTTGCGAATTTATTCAGTGAAGATTAGCTAATATAACATACGTAGAACATCAAAAAACATTCTGTACCAGATTTTTGGTCTTTTGAATTTGATTCTTCAACGAACTGAATAACGCTGATGTTCTCCGAGTATCGTAAACTCCATTTTGCGAAATTATCACAAAAAGAATCGAAACATTCTTTTCAACTGATACCACGCCTAATGGTATGATTAAAAACCCTTTAAAATTTCCAACACTCATAAAATCATGTTGAAAAAAGCCTACTACTTAAATTTAGTTCATTACTTCTTTATTTATTAACCCATCATAATTCGAAAAATCTATCTAATACTAGTTTCAACTTATTAATTGTATAATGCATTGAAATACTGAAAATGTACAAGTACTTGAACAGAGGACTTCAGTGAATATGTAAATTACACATTAAATGGTTTTTTTCTGGCAAAAAGTGAACACCAATTCTTTTATGGTTCCATTACAGTGAAACTAGTGCCGTGATCTACAAATCAATAATATGATTTCAGAAATAAAAGTACTACAAAACACCATCTTACCTTGATTAACTCCTTGCACTTCATGACTTGCAACTATCCATATCATAAATGACTTCAACAACGTGACAACAATCATAATTATTCTAAATAAGCATATTACTTCGAGTTGTTAAGTGAATCCATGCTCCAGCACCATTCATAGAATATCAGACGCATCAAACGATTTATATCTATAAAAGCACAAATTCATTTAGGATTTCCTTCCTGAAACCAATAATTTTCTTTTTATCGAATACACTACTGTTGTGAGTAAAGTATTACTAAAGAATAACCACAAACAATTTGCAATCTTCTAAAATATTTATGAAAGATTAACAGTAATATACTAAGGAAAACCTTGTTATATAACTTCACATTTCACAATTCCAACAGCAAGAACAAGGGTATATCCTGTGATGAGAAAGCATTGCTATGTATTAAATATTTTATGAAATAGATGAGATGAAATAAGCAACACAACAAAACTAAGGTCACGATTATTTTCTCATAGACTGAAACATAAAAACCTGAGGTGATGTTGCTTACAGCAAGTATAGAATAAGTATTTGATGACATTTATACAGAAGTGTTTAACACCATAATTCGCTGGTGCGAGCGAAAAACCTAACTAAAACTGCTGTGGCATCAAATAATGATAAAAGACATTTGGTATACATAAGTGAAAGAGATGACACTAGCATTTATGAAATAATTTAGTCAATACTATTACACTACTGAACATAACTTCAGGCGACATGAATAAGTGATATATATTGAACATTCGAAACTAAAGATTCAAAATGCTTGACACTCATTTTAACATACCCATTCAATTAAAATTTGACTAAAATCGAAGATGAAATCGTTGGTAAAAACTGAGCACAGATATTCTTACAAACCGCAAACTCAACAAATCAATTTACAGACATAACGCTCCGTAGGAGGAAGGAATACCAAGGTCAAAAACATTTAAATAATGTCAAGCAGCATCAAATAGCAACTTTTAAAATTCTATAAAACTTGTTTTTTTCATATAAAAAGACGCTATTATCTGATGGATTATATCTATGCAATCTTTTAACATTGGACTGCATTTTCTACAGCACTTTAGATAAAATCCAGATTTTTCTGTTTTTTACATTACCGCTAAATGAAGTGAAAAGCAGAGTAAACACCTATCCAAGACACCATAAAAGTTGCAAAAGCTGATCCAAAACCTTCTTTCGCCAGTTCCCAAAACCCACCTAGCAAATCCTCGTCTACCTGTAATAGTTTCTTTTAAATCGCTTCACTATTTTTTGAGAAGTTGAAAACATCGAATGATGTGAACTATCAGCTGTTGAGACTTCATCTTTGACTATTTAAAGGCGAAAAAGACATGTTATTTTCTGAGATCATTAATCAACAAATGCTTGAAGTAGGTAGTTGACTTATGTGCCGAAAAAAATAATTTGCACATAGAAATTGAAAAAGTACTAAGCAATTCTAGCATAAATCTCATTCGATTTTTAATAAAAAAGGCAAGAAACCTTTTGAAAATTCGTAGCATACAGCTGACCCACAATGGTAGAAATGATAATGTAAAGAAGAATAGCCAAAAAACCACGCAGAGGAATAAAACCCCAGCAAATGCCAATCACGAGTGCAAGAATTTGCCTTCCCCAATATAATACATCCAGAAGATCATCCTTATTAGGCCATTCACTTTCTCTTATGAAAGCTTTTGCGAGCTGAAAACAACAAAATGTTGATTTTAGTTAGTTGCAGAGAGATAAAACAGAGTGGTTTTTTAAAGCGACTTACTGTCAAATTCTCAGTACAGTTCGGTAAGAGAAGAAAATTTTTCTCAAATTTGCAAAACACTGCAAACATTACCAATTCCAAACTTAAACACAACAAAGCACTATAGCTTATAAACTGTATAATTATATATAATACCAGTGGATATCTTGATCGGATGGATCAATAAGAAAAAGGATTGCCACTACTACTTAATCTCACATTCCCGTGTGTAGAAACTGAAACCGATAATGTATATATAAGTCTACTCATGCATAAAATGCTTATGTACAAACATTTGGTATTGAGTAATGAATTAGATTACACAAAGTTACCGTTTTCCTCCAATGAGCAGTTTCAGATTCACTCTGTAATTGTGAGTTCTTCTTAGATGACATTTCGGTAATTCGTATTAGCTTATCATAAAATCTACAAATAAGTAGAAGCAATCTATTGTTGATAAACAAAATTAACTGCTGAAACAAAGTTCTTGACAAGAATTAATAAATGACGATTCCAAAAAACTAATAAGATTTATATCCCGGATTCAATACGATTCGTAAACAGCGTAACGCAAATGCAAAAGACTTGCGAAGCACCACACAAGATATCACTTAGCACAATCCCGCTTCTCTTAGAGATTACGTCATCATTTGCTGATGTCAATGCTACAATTATGTTCCACTTGCTACACAACCTCTTTATTTTAAATTTTCTCTAGCTAAATCTCTTTTTCTCTAATCAATTTTTGATTGATGATCTTTTGAAAAATTCTAGGTCTGATGCTTAATTGCGAAACTTAGGCTTTTTTGATTTCAGGAATAATGACGTTATCTGGTCATTTGATCATTATAATCAGCTAAATTGGCATAGATTGTATGTCATTCATATAATCACATGTGGTTGTGTTTTCTTGTCATTTCAGCGACTTGGGTCATTTAAATGAAATACTGGACTTTGTAATTATCTAAAAAATGGTTCTCGACACCTCTTATTATTGGTCACTGATTCTTTTCTAATCATCGAGTTTTCAATTGACCATTCAAGTTCATGTGATGTGGTATAATGTGTTGTATCATTTGTATTAAGGCACGCTCAGTGAGTTGATAAAATATTGCTAAATTTTGTTAAATTAAAGGAATTTTAATTTGAACGTTTTTTAACGTAATTTATACAAATTTAAAATGTTTTGTATTTAAAATTATATGACATTGATTAACGAAAAGGCATCACAGCTGTTTATCAATGTTATTAGTACTATAGAGTGCTGGAATTTCATGGGTTAACAGGAAGTTAGGAAGTGATATACGTTCGTGATAGTGACGTACGTTTGTGATATTTTGTAAGTCGAGTTACATATAAGTAATGCAAATTTACGTGCATATAAATTTTGCTGATTTGCGTGAGTAATATTCATTTTTCATCTCAGTGATATGATTTTGTTACGCAATCTTGAGTATTTATAGTCGTTCTGTTTAAAGTTTTCGTCGTCTAGAATGTTTTCCAGGAACATGAACGCTTCGACTACGGCGATATTCTGCAGAATTGATACGTCGAGAGCGTCTACTCAGTCGCGATCGAGAAAGCGAAGTCTTCCGACGACTTTTTGAAAATTCTCGTCCTAGTGATGCATGCCGAAATGGTGGCGCACTACGTGAACGAATTATCCGAGCATGTTCAGTTGCCTGACGTGCTAATTTGTTTGCCTGAAGTCTTGTGCAAATCTCAAATAATCTGGTTATCCAAATGTTTCTAATCTGATTAACATGTATAGTTATTTAAACGGGCAAAAATATATTTAGATAAAGTTTCTAGATCAGTTCTTTGATACTAATTTTTTAATTAAGAAGTAGGACATCAACTCTGTATATGTAACAGGTTTTACAAGTATTTTATATACATAAATGAATGAATATGTTTTCCAAGATCATATGATAGCTAACTAACCTCTTCATTTCCTTGTTCACCCTCATGACCAAAAACATGCTCAAATTGTACACCATTTGGGAATTCACTTGCTAACTGTTTCAAGTCCAAATATTCATCGTGAAATCGTCCATTAAAACCATCGTTATTCATAGCATATATGAGCGGCAGAAAATCAGTACGTAATATTACATTCTCTCCTCTGACAAGATCAAAGTCACTCGCAGGTAACTTCAGATATTAACAGTAATTATAGGTTTAACTAGCTTCTTAAAATTCACTTATACATATTCCATGATCGCAATGACTTTAATGCCGTGTTAGCTGCTATGATTTCTGCTAGTCCACTGTTGTGCTCATAGCCATGAATTGCCATACTTTTATTTAATTCATGATTTGGTCCAAAATAAATACCAATGCCAGAAGCACAGTTATCGATGCAAGATCCGTCGGTGTAAATCTGCTAATTCATGACAGTTGTCAGTTTACTTCGTGTATCAAGCATTACGCATTTCGTGTTGATAAAAAAAAAAGTGACTTCTGCGATTGAGAATTAATAAACAATAATTTTAATTTCGAAAGTGTATGAAATAAATTTGTGAGAAAAGTATTTCACTGATAATTAAATTTGGATTCATTGATCAAAACTGAACTCTTAGTTATGAGCAAAAGAGATCCTTTGCTTGAATGTATTTTCTTCAATTAATTAACATTTGATCAAAGTTTATGGGAATAAATAATATACCATATTTGCGACTGATTCAAACAAGAATTTCCCAAAGTTTTTCATATAAGTCCGACAACAGTAAGGGAGATTAAACTAACACTAACAATAACAATCCTCAATTTCTGCTACTGATAGTGGTCGCTTTACGGAAGATTCAGTTGCGCAAAAACGTTATTAATGTTTTAATTGAAAGTGACTTTTGAGGGATGTAATTTCTTTTGAATAATAATTCTTTGAAAGAACTAATTACTAGCGTACAGTTATGGTTGGCAAGTCAGATCTTTCTGAATCTGTTCCTGAAGAGTCATTTGAAGGAGTTCTGGAAGTACTGATGGTACAATTATCAGTTCCTGAAGAGTCATTTGAAGGAGTTCTGGAAGTATTGATGGTACGATTATCAGTTCCTGAAGAGTCATTTGAAGGAGTTCTGGAAGTATTGATGGTACGATTATCAGTTCCTGAAGAGTCATTCGAAGAAGTTCTGGAAGTATTGATGGTACAATTATCAGTAGGGGAGAATGATCTTTGAGTAATATCTGGAAATGTACTTGATAAGTTATTGTTGTGAAATGAGGAAAAGAGTGTTAAGGAAATGTGGTGTGGTGAGTTAATGTGATAATGCCAATTTACAAGTATTCAATTCGAGAAATGTTATGATTTCACATTTACTTCTTTGCTAATTATCAAAATGCTTCACTTGCATTATACCAAGACACCTTGCCATTCTAGACGTGAATACTGATGATCCTTTTTGAATTCTTTCAGTGGTACCTTCGGGCATGAAATTTTCACTTTGAAACTTTGATATCTTTGGGAGTTGATTGCTTCGATACTCAAAATTATGAAATAATAGGTTACATAATAAACGGAGCACCCTATTCATTAACGTTGAATTGAATAAAATAATGCCAAGTACAAAAGGCATCAGTTTTATGAATATAAGATTCGAACAAATTTGCATAATTTACCCAATGCTTTAGAACAACTCTTTTGAGGCCAAAGTATGTGCACTATAAATATGCATGCAGTTAGACAAATCTGAATTTGTGGACTTTCAAGTTTGGTACTTATGTGGTAAGTGACATAATCACGATAGAAAGACGAAGACTGATTATTGAGTGTAATAAACTTCTCGACGATACTATTTGTGTCCGACAAGTTTTCATTGACTATATTTAAGCTCAGTTTAATTTGAAGGAATTCTTGACGGTAGTAATAAATTTTGTACTCACGTAAGAGTCAGCTTTCTTCACTCATTCCAAACCATACATCCGTTCTTTATAATTTCTGCTTCGAATTCTGGACACTTCATAAACATTTGCATAATAACCGATGCATTAATGATTAAAAATTAAGCAAATTATGAAGGGTCAATTTATTGTTTGTTAAATTGTTATTTAAATGTCCACAATAAAATGCAACTACTCATTGTTGCAAATTAATATCATGTCAGAAAGCGATAAAAAGTGTGACATTAGATGCCGCATATGCATGAACATGCGTGCAATCAGCGAGATGCAACAGATTCTGCCTTGTTTCCATACATTTTGTCATAAATGCATTGCCATCTCGACATCGTTCCAAAGTGTACTTCTGTTATTTTTGTATTTTTTACAATTTTCTGAGAATAAAAATATTCGAATGCATAGAATTGAGAACAATTTTATTTCTGCTATTGCTACCTTTGCTGCGGTTTTTATTTTTATAATGTAATTTCATTCACTGGTAATTTTTTTGAATTTAATTTCACAATTAAGACCATATTCTGTTGCTTTTTTTTGAAAATTTAAAATTTTCTATTTTTTAAATATTTTAAATTGAGTACTCCTTCTTGATATGATTAATTAAGTTTAATCATTTATTCTTTATACTGAAAATTCTTCTTTCTAAAAAAGCAAACTTTCTTCTATTCAAAAATCATCAAATTGAAGTCATTTTTGCGATTTAGAACTATTTTATATTATTCCAGAAACTATCAAAAAATTATTGCATTTGTCAGTAAGTGTATTTTTCTGTTCAAAATTGTAATCTTTAATGTAAAGCTTTTAAGAATTCAGTTTTTGTACTAATAAAATAAATTAAAATAAACTTTGATCATTTTCATTAGCAATTACTGAAGCGGAATTTTGTAATTGCAGACTTGTCCATCTTCCTGCTGCTACTCGCATATTCAACCTTCACCAAATACGGCTCAGATTGTTATAAGTTACTGTGAGAATAGAATGTGTCCAAAGTGCATGATTTTTACTTAGAATTTGAGTATTCTGTAAAGAATCTTTCTAAATGAAATACTGCAATTTGAATAAATAAAAATTAAGACTGCAAAATAAATTTTTATTTAGCTAAACAATTTTTAGTGTAATTCAAAATTGTGCACAAATAATTTGCAGAAAATTATCACAATTTGAGACTACTTACCTCAATGCATGTAAGCATGAGATCTGCACTACATGCTTAGAACAGTCATTACAGCGACGACCTCCAGGTCATTAATAGTATAAAATATCAGATTAAAATTAAAATTTTTACTCAGAAAATTTGAGTACATTTAAAGCAAATAAAATTGACGTTCTCAACTATCAAAATTTGAATTTATTCAAAAAAATTTTCAAATTTTTCAGTAATAAATTCAATTAAAATTGCATTTGCTGTGTAATAATACTTAACCCTATTTATTGTACTTAGTTGTTTCAATTATTATACTTAAAAGTATGGATATCGTCTCACACGAAATGATAATGACTCCGAATTTATCAGCTTAGAAATAAGTGAAAACTTGGCAGAAAGTATTATCATTGTCTGATTTGTAAAATAAGCACGC